ATTTACTGACGTCAAAGAAAATATACAGGATATGGCAGAACATCATTTTCTGCTCTTTCACAAACTTAAAGCAGCAAACAGACAGAAGTATAACTGTGTAATTGTGTTGGAAGGTTCTGCACAGAGCCATATTTCTAAGACGTCGTTGTGCAGGAGTAAAGATTAAACATCAGAGATTAAACCCTGTTATTTCATGCCTGATTAATACAGTAGTCCTATTGTGATGCACTCGGTAGTTTCTGGAGTATTTAGGCATATTTAAGCACCTCGACGGCTGTGTAACATATTAATCACTTTGCATAATTAAATCCTGCTGATATGGAAATTAGACATAAGTAGCTTCACACTAACCGAGCCCGAGGCTGCACGGAGACAAAAATCTGCGTAGGAATGACTAATGCACGGCTCTAAAGATAGATCTCAGATGAGGAGAAAATAACTATTTAGCAGATCAGAAAGTCAATCAGAAGAGATCATCCAGCTCTGCGTTTGGATTTCTGTCAGAATAACCACATTCGGAGGGTAAGAAATTGGCTTTTCTTGTTAGAAATCATCGAATAATTCACCTCTGAAAGGATGTTTGGGTACAAAACAGAGAGAGGAAACTGGAAGTTTCACGCAGAGAAGAATACAACAGCTTTTCATTTCATGTGCAGATTAAACAGACTAAACACAGTGGGATAAATCACATTCTACTTATTTTGCTCTTCAATTCAAGCACCTAGAGGACAGAACCTGTAGAGCCTGATGCACCAAACAGCAGCAGAATAAATGCAGCACTGATCCCGTGTTCCAGCATGCGGCTGGTACAAGCCCTGTGGCCCCTTTTAGGAGCCCCGCTGCTGTGATAATCCTGTTATCTGCCATTAAAGGTGCAGGGCAGGGGGAAGGGGAGGGCGAGGGGGTGTCATGCAGCCTGAATGTTGATGCACACCCATGCCAGAGCACCAGGATAACACCTCACCTGCCTCCGTGTGTGTCGGGTTAACCCTCGCAGCTACAGACGAGATCTAAGCAAATCCGTTTGGATGCAACCCAGACGCACACAGGTGCGCCCGCAGAAGCATTGTTATCGCTGACAGCTTGAGTCTTCATGAGATCTTACTCCACACTCAAGGGGTACATCATTACATGCCAACATGCTGGGAACCGAGCATGCATAATGTATGAAACATTGAGCGTCAACATATGCATGTGCAACAATACCGAGTCGACACAAAATCGAATCACCAGGTAAAAGGACGAGGAGTGAAGCTCGCTGCAGAGACAAAACTCTCTGTGATGTGAAGAGCGCCAACATGTAAAGACACAGATCATAATGGAGCCAAAACAACACGTGCATCATGGGAACTTTTCCCGTTTTGAATGACAGAATCAACCGCACGCAAACCTCCGCTTATTTTGTTCGATTGAACTCTCTCACAACCTTTCATCTCTGCATCCCTCACCGCTTTCACTGCAGCACACAGCTCTCCAGTCCTGCCACGATTTCCATTTATATAGCTCATACTATCAGCGAAAAGATTTCTTATTCACTTCTCGTGCAGGGATGATGGGATTCGATTTAAACACCTTGCTCACTGTTTGTGGCCTCGTCACCTTTTACGACAAGGTGATATTTCAGGATATTGGGCTGCGAAAGGCCTCATCTACAAGGGGCTGCAGCAGGAGGTTTATAGCATATGACATGTACACATATACTGTAACATGCTGCATATATGGGGAGGGGAATTCATCTGGATTTCCCATGTGACTGTTAGAGCGTCTGAAACTCGGTGATTTAAGACGGGGTCCTAATAGAACGACTGCAGCAGACTGGGAGCTCGAACGGGAGTGGCAGAGTTATCTCAGCAACACGAGAAACACAATAAAAGGAGAACAGGAAACAGCAGACTGACTTTTCCAAATAAAGAGGATTGTTACATGGATTCAGGGTTGGATCTTTAGACATTTAAAACTATGATTATTGTAGATTTGACGCCACCTGTGTTTCCTGCCTGATAGCAGGTGTTTCTGGTGTTCCTCCATGATGCATGACATGCTGGTAATGTAGACAGGCCAGTTCGGCCCCCAGACCCTCCTCCTACAGAGTCACACTGTCACGTAATTCGCACAGGGTGTCAAATTTTGGCACATTAGAGCACAAGACAGTTTTATAGACCTGCAGCAACAAAGTGTGTTTACAGACGGTAGATTTTGAGCCAAAAATATTTCAGTTTTCCCTCAAAAAACTTAAGATTTTTTATTCAGTGAAAACTTCACCAAACTTTAATAAAACGTTTTTTGATCATCTCTCAAAATGAAATCATCACAGGAAATGCATTACAGGAAATTCACAAAAGACAGAAGAAGAGTACAGAGCATGTGCATCCACACGGAGATGAAATGGTCGTTGTTTATGGATTCATGCACTCTCTGACCAGCTTTCAAAAAGTACCATTTACAGTCACCTGAAACACCGTTTCCGTGTTGATGAAACGCCGATATGACAAAAACTTTTGCGTTTGCTCCTGAATTTGTTTCCTTGTGGACGGGTTGATACCGCCTTCAGACAGACTTTGCAGCGGGGAGTGGTTTGCTCTTCATCTGACACTGTGAAGCCGTACCAATTCCACATGACTGACTTGCTCTTGTCATATTTAACCATGAAATTATCATCCTCTGTTGCAAACTCCATCAGGGTTTCCCCTACATGCAAATGATTGTGGCGCACCGCCACGGCTAAATAAAAGCCGCCACACCTAAATGACGTTGCTAAATTACGTGCGCCACTACTGAAATTTCACATGATCATTAACATCAATGCACCACTAACGATTCTACTTGCACTGTGTGAGCACAACAACTCACGTTATTTTTGACTTATTGTAAGTCATCAACGAGCGCATCAAATCCTGTCGGACCCTCTTCTATCAACGTGAAAGGTAACATTCAAGCTTATACACGGTCTATATAGCGAGTAGTGTGTGTAACGTAACATTAATGTAACAGCTTTTGATGTTTATCTACTTTATATCCTTTTGTACAGAAATTTTAAATAGTTATTTCAATGTAAACATGATGATTAAACTGTAAATTCACACAGAGTAGTGCTGGGCGATATGGAAAAAAATGTATATCACGAAATGGATCATTTTATATCACGATAACGATATATATCACGATATAGCTATGGTATGCTTTCAGTTCTATGAAAAATTTAAGTGTATACAGCTGCACTAGTACAGTACCAGTACAAGACCAGCACTTAAAACTAGAAAAATGAATAAATAAATACGTGGCTGAAGTGCGTTCATGTCTGTGCTCACCCAAAGTTATGCAACACTCACAGAAAACGCCGATAGTGTGAGCCAAAGCACTCCATAATAATAATAATAATAATAATAATAATAATAATAAATTTAATTTGCAATGCACTTTACATTTACAAAAAATCTCAAAGTGCTACAGCACACAGTAAAAAAAGAGCAGCAACAATAAAAAAGCAATAGAATGACAGTCACAGATTAGCATAAAAAATAAAAAATATAGAGTTGCAATGTAAGAGGCAAGGTAGTAAAAGCATAAAGCATAGAGGAAAACTAACCAAAGACTTTATTAAAAAGGTAGGTCTTTAGGGCTCTTTTGAAGAGGTTGTTCACACTGCTGGATGTTTCTCCTCCAAAGCTGCTCTCTGCCTCCATCATTGTTTACTTTACTCTTGAAGCACGTAGCAAGACCCGAGCATGAATCCGAGCGCTTTATTCGCCTATCAGGGGCAGACAGGTAAGGTGATTTGATTCGCCACGACTCCAGAAATGATTGAAAAACTACAGAATGTCACAAAATTACGTTTCCTCGCTGCTGGCTTGAAGGGTAGAAATGCGCAGCCGCACTCCCAGCTGACAGGAAGTCAAACCACTGTTGTAGTTCTTTTGTGTTGCTAGCGCGGTCAAGAGTGTTGGCTCTCACTGAGAGATGACTACAAAAATGGACGCACCTGTTCATCTGGTTGTTAAACACGGCTGAAAAAGATCATCTTCTCATGTTGTTCCCGCTCCTGCCCACTTGCTTTTTTTCCCGTCCCGTCCCGATCAAGGGATTAATTAAAAAATGACTCCCATCCCGTGGGATTCCCGCGGGAATCGCGTGATCCACGGGAATTCCCGAAAAATGTCATCCTCTACAGGGAAGGTCCCGGAGCAGATGAAACAGGTGCCGGAGCGGCTGAAATAGGTCCCAGATCCGATCAAAAGAGGTCCCGGATCGCGCTCCGACTTGCTCCGGCACAAATTAAGCACTGCTTACAATGATCCCCTCACGTGTGTAACCCAGGTAACCCGCAACGGCGGGAGACGCTGGACACAAAGAGGGCATGTAAAGCGGCGTCATGTCGCAAAATCGAAAGAGGAAATGCGAGCCTACATGTCAACGCATCCTTTTCTTTGTAAGAAAATATTGTTTTCTTTCCCGTTCGACACCAAATACACTTACTGAATGTGCAATTAATGTTGTTGTTACTATGAATCATCTGATGGCACAAGCCCTATGGATAAAATACAGCCTATCGCCCGAAACGATAAAAATAAAAATGGCACGATAGACATTTTCTATCGTGCCCACGATATCTATCGTCCTACCGCCCAGCACTAACACAGAGGATTATTATTTGCTCACGCAGTCTCTCTCATCTCTATTTCTGAGTGACTCTACCTCTCCCTAATTAAAAAATAGGCTTTAGATGATCTGCAAAAAGTCTGTTTTTGAAAAGGTTGCAGTAAATACTGTCTCTATATGTGTGCTTAGAGCTGAATTTGTTAACAATGATCAGAGTATTCATAATCATTTTTCATCTTCACACCTGGGGCTCACACAATTCGATCCCTCCCTCTCATGCCCTCTTCCTCGTGGTGAAAAGTGCTGAAAATGATCTTCTCTGTCCTCACTTTGGCTCACCCTGTCTTCTGGAGTTGGCTGCAAAAATTACAGATGAAGGCCCAAACTTCAGCTCAACCATCTGGCAGAGAAGTGAGAGTTTTTTCACTTTTGTATTCGTATTTTTTTGGCGTATTCAGAGCTGCTGACAGAGCTTCAATCTTCTTTTCTTGGCAGGAAATCCGCACCATGTTTTCACAGATTTCAGGATCCAGCTTTCATACAATCTTTCTGCATGTCAGAGCTCCTCCTAATAATGTGGTGACATCCTAAGTGAACTCCTCCGCCTCAGCCATCGTATACTCACACATTTTGCTCGAGATAGTACATCAGCGGATCATTCCACGAGGACTTAGCGGGTTTAGACCGCCGAAGAAAGTTAGAGGATAAACATGTCGGAACAGGAGTGCATCACGACTGCAGCGTTCAGGGAAACAAACCTCAGAGGCAAAGTGATGAAAGTGGAGTTGTGCAGGTCATACAGAGAGAAAGAAGAGTCAGGGAGAGAGGACAACAAATGGAGATGGAGGGGGACAGAGGGGATGGAGGTTTGGTAAGAGTGGAAAAACTGAGTAAAGGGAGTGAGGGTCTGTGCAGGGAGAAACTGAACCCTGTGACACTGCTGGGAAGTCAGAGAGCTGCTCTATCTTTAACAAGTATCTCTGCAGCCAAACAGAGACAGTCTGAGCTGTTCTGACCCTGGTCACAGCTGGGCGGGGAAGTCACCCGTCCTCTTGTGTCCTCAGAGGCAGCTGTTTGATAGCGTCCCTGCAGAGTCTCTGAGATTTTGGGGATATTGTTTCTAACACTAATTGGTAATATGCTGTGCCTGTTGCAGGCTCTTGTTTCCCGGATGACTTTGCCAAAGTTTGCCAAGTGTGCGACACTTTCTTAATTCAAACCATTTATTTGTGGAAAGCAAGTGTGAGTACAGTGAATTGTTGCTATGGATACAGAGAAAGTGGGCGGTCCTTCATGAGGCTGATAATGCATAATGCTGCATTCCAGGTGTACTCAGAAGTCGGGATTTTCGAGCTTCGAGTTGGAAAATCACGTGGAATGCCTCCCTGAAGTCGGATTTCCTGAGTCGGACAATCCTTGACTTGACAACCACGTCATAATCAAAGATGGCCGTGCAGTGCATCAACAGTAAAGAGTAACAGTGAAATCTCTCGAAATGTATTACTTATCAGCACTTCTGTTTGTTTTTTGTGAAATTAAATAAGTGGTTTATGTTTTACTGCCCAACGTCTAACTGTGAACACTATGGTGCTACGGTGTTTGTAAAAGTAAAATACTGCGTTATACGTTGTTTACAACTGGTATTGCTAACAACAACAAACAATGGCTAACGACAGCTGACAATTGTTAACAACAGCTAACAACGGCTGACAATAGGCATCCCTCTTGGTTTTCTGACTTGTTTACTGGAATGCCATCAACTCGGGTGTAACGTCATTCCCAGCTCCGATATTCAACTTCCGGAATAACTGGAATGCAGCATAAGTGTGCATTCTCCTGGACCAAAGTGAAAAGATGTATCCCACCTTCATTTGCAGCCTGAATGGCTGGATCTCAAAGATTCTCCTGCGTATGCAAACGATCTGACTGCAAGAGTGCAGTAAAAATGGTGTGCAGAGTGTGAGGAACATTAGCAGAGCTAGCACCACCAGCAGGGTGAACACCCACGGCTTTGTGTTTGTGCAGCTACACGTTGTTCCTCTCAGTTACACACCCATTTCTCCATATCTTTACATCTGGGTTGCACACAATCGCAGTAGCCTCTAGATAAGCTGCACTTCCTGGAAGTAGTAGGTGGCACTGCTACAGCTTGTGCACAATTGTGACCTACATCTTGAACCTTCACTAATACAGTATTAATAATAGATTCAGCAGAGTATCCTTGAAGAAAGAGGTGATGCAGCACAACAGTAACTGTTATGATGCTTTCATGATGAACTCCTGGTTGCCTGTTATAACAGCGTGCAGCACATCTGTATACGGGTAAATTATTAAGACGACATATGTTGCGTGTTTTCACCAACTGCCGTAGCTTCCTCTGCTCTGGCACCATGGTTTGCATTAAAACCTAATCATACATACCAATCACGTGTTAAATTATTCACTCGTCTTTCGCCAGCCAGAGCCCCGGAGCTTCAAAACAGTCCGTCACATATGAAGAGTCCACAGGGGGGCGAGCCAGTTAATTCTGACAAAACTCAATAAGAGCTCCCTCCCAGTGGGCCGGCTTTAACACATGGGTAAAGCATGAAAGCATTACCTCTGCAAAACAACACATTTGAAGGGATGTAATGGATGAAACAGCAAAAGTTAAACTCCCAGGTGATTGGTTGGAGAGAATACTTCCTGGGAATGCCTTAGCAACAAGCTGCCGCCCCCTGCCCGACCATCCACAACCAATCACTACGAGCAAATATCCCCCTGAGGTCAGGTGAGCAGACCAGTGGTAATCACTGAATCCTCATTCACAGGGATGAGCGTGGAAATGAGGAGCAGAATCCACCGGGGAGGATGAATTAAAGGGGGAGGAAGGGAGGAGGGGAGGGAAGGAGGCGTGGGAAGGAAAGAGGGAGAAATGAGGACTCCTGGGTGATGGAAGGAGGAGGAGGAGGAGCACTAGATTAATGATGTCTTTAGATGAGTCCAAACGTTTGTAATGTCAGTGCTCGGACATAATATCAAACACATGATCACCTTGAGTGGACACAGGCCCTTAATCCAATCAGAATATGATAATACAACTAGGCCCTAACTTTCTGCTAATGAATCAAGCTAATGGAGCTGAACTGTGCAGACAAGAGCGAGGTGTTCATCAGTCATCTCAGTTTCTGCTCTCTTTTCTGCACCAATTTTCAAAGTGCCAACCTCAGCCTGTTATAAATCGTCAAACTGTGACAGAAAATTACACTCTTTACATGCTTTTTTTTTTTTTAAATGTGTGTTGTGAGTAACAGCATCTCTCTTCTGCCGGGTTAAACTATGAAGGCTGACAGAGTGGAGTCAGTATGAGACTTCGGGGACGAGACATAAACCATCGAGTCAGGCAATTACAGCACACATCCCAGTGTAACCACAGAGACATCACCAGGAATGTTAAATCCTTCCAGGAAGCTCTGAAACAGTCGTCTCCTCGCTGAAGGCGACAGAAGACTTGGAGAGGGGGAGCTTATCTTTTGGCACGACTCGCATCTCCAAAACCAAAATGGTAGCCAGACTGGGCCAAATCAATCCCCCACCAGATGAATATTTCATGTCACTCTTTGCTCAGTTTCAATCTCAGCTCCAAGAGAGCGTCCGTTCACCTAGAAAGCTGCTTCGGTTTGTAGGCCTGACACAAAATCTGCTGCTCAAGGACGCAGCCTTGTTTTGTTGACATTTACTCACATGAATCTGCGGAAAAGGAGCATCCATTTAAATCTAACATAAAGAGAGCACGTCTAATTTAAGAGGTTTGTGGTCACATGGACATTTTCACCTCTTTGCTTCTCTGCAGAGCTCTGCAAGAACACACACCTTCCTCTCAGTGCCTCCCTCCTCTAAAAGGGTACAAAATGCTGTTGCCTGGCAGCGCTCGTCTCGGTGCGGCTTTAAAAAACTGCACTCCCAGATGGCACACAGGTCCAAGAGGAGAAAAAAATAATAAAGCACAATCATCTTTTTTATGAGATCTTAATAGTGCTACAAATGTCAGGCCTGATGTATTACCGCGCTCTCGCTGCACTCAGATGTTCCCCGCGCTTCGCCTGGACAATCATTACGCTTATCAAAAGCACTTCATTAGAGGAATCAGGTCAGAGGCAGAGAAAGAGAGACGCTCTGTGTTTGTGTGTGTATCCATTATCTGTGTCTGCATTAGTCTGGGTGTGTGTATATATGTGTGTGTGTGTGTCTAAGTCTGTGCAGGTGGATGAACAAGAATAGAAAGAAGAGCGTCAAGGCCAGTGAGCTCCTCTCCATCGCATCTGGAGCAGCGTCTGTTTTGTCTGGGAAAAAGTTGACCAAAAGTGTTTGTTCATCTCCTTCTGCTCGAAATAGGGTCAAAATTTAACTGACAACAACGTTTTGGGGAAATCAGTGTCTATATTGTCCTGATGATCAATAATGAGGCCGATATATCTGCACCTCACGAGTGGAAAACCAGCCTCTTTAAAGCTTGTTTTCCTTTACAGATCACCATTTATCTGCCAACATGCGTGTAGATTTGTTCACCAAGGGGACATCGGAAAAGTTAATCAGTCTATGGTAAGAAGATCAAACTAGCAAGCTATTAGACAGCTTATCAAAAGGCTCACACAAGGATGGGGCGCCTTGTGAAAACAAAACTTATTAAAACTATTAATCTAAAAACACAAGAACTTCATTCTAAAACTTTAACTTTATTATCAAAGCAACAATAAAACTGATAAAACTTTATGATCAAAATATAATGATAGTTTCTACACACGAAATTATTCTTGTCACAACCTGAAGACTTTATGCTCAACTTTTTTCCCGTAACAAAACTTCATTCACAAAATTTGTTATAACATAATGACCTTCATCTCGTAACACTACAAAGTTACTCCGTTTCACAATGACTGGAATGTTGCAACAAATCACCATTGATCTTGTAACATGAAAACTACATTCTAAAAACAGAACGACTTTAGTCTTGTAACACATTTACTTTGAATCTTGTAACATAATAGAAAAAATAACTTTAGACATAATAACTTTTAATCTTGTTAAAAACAGACTTTATCTCCAAAGTGCAACAATGTGTAAATCTTGTTACGTAACCTTGTGATAACAACTTTATTCTTGTAGCTTTTTACTGGTAACAAAACCACTTTATTCTCTAAACATTATCACTTTAAACATGTAACATAACTTTATTCCTTAAACAAAACTTCTTTTTAATTTTGTAACATAAAGACCCAATCTCGTTACACCCACAAACTTTTTTTTGTAGCAAAAAGACTCAATTCATGTGAGATAATAACGTTTTTGTAGGAACATAAAACACAACTTATTCTCCTGACATCTTTAGTCTTGCGATGATTTGACTTTATTTCCCTAGAAAGACTTTATTCTCGAAACATAAGGACTTTTATCCCCTAACACATGAACTTTTTTAAAACTTGACAACTTAATTCTCCTAAAACGTGATGTCTGTATTCTTAATACTCAAAGATTTTGCTCTCTTATAGTCACAACTTTATTTTAGAAACTTTAATTTTTCTGTTAGTGTGGCCCTTAAACGCTGTCGTTACACACAAAGACTTAAAATAGACTAAAATTAAAAGTTTTCTGTCAAAGCTAGCGCTGATTGAGGGCAGTATTCCGTGAAAGGCAGCTCGGTGTAAACGCATTATGTAACTGTGACTGTTTCATTGACCAGAAAAGACAGACCAGATCTGCTGTCCTCAAATCCAGCTTCACGCAGACTGCTGAACTCTGCCTGACGCCTGAATTCTCACAATCGATCCAGCCACCACCACCGCCGCACATGAACTCAACCCCACCCGGGTCACAGAGCTCAGAGTCAGACTCCAGTTCACTTCTGCTGTCTCACCATTAACCATCCAGGCTCCAGCCTCCTCAGCAGATCAGCAGACTGACAGCCCGCTTGGTTTCATTTTACAGGAGAACTGTTAGTCTCCTTTCCACAGGTCTCAACCCCCCCTCCTGTTCCCAGAGCGCTTAACATGAAAAAGCATCTCAAACACAGAGTAAATATGTATCCCTGAGGGGGTTTGCAGTGGGCGAGGCATGCCTCCCGCCACGCCACATGAGCAGAGATGAAAGTCTGGAGAAGCTGAAGGGAGCACAGACTCCACCTTTCCTCCTTCCTCGTCTTTAAAAATAGCTATTAGGAGCAGAGGAGCTACTGGGAATTCAGACAACAGCAGCAATTGGACCAACATGTTCTCCTTTTTGTAAAGAAGAAAAGAAGCCAAGCAATAAACAAGCTTTCATCCCTCTGCTTCCACATGCTCCAGCTCCAGAGCAGCTGAAGCCAAAGCTGTCTGCTTTTAGTAGAAGCAGCACAAACTCGCAGAAGAAAAACGCAGAAATATGAAGAAGTTGGTCCTACCTTTTTCTGGTCCTCCAGCTTCTGACTTGTCGACTTCTTGCCATGTTTGCTGGCCTCAGATGAATCCATTCCTGCTCCAAAACAAAATTACTCCACAGTAAAAATCGCAGGGGGGGAAAAAGTTGAAGGAAAATCCAGACAGCTACAGCTTTCCGACAAGGGCCTGCGTCCGGCTCACGCCTTCACCCGGACACAGGCGATCCATGGTATCCAATCCTGTAGCTCGGTTTGAAGTTAAATGTCTGGCAGAGTTACCCTTCCCAGAAAGACTCTGAATCCCTGGAAAGAAAAGCTACCCGGAGCGCTTCATCGTGCCGACTGCTCCAACGTGAACTCTGATGAGGACCTCCAGCCTGCAGGTTGTGTGGATTTACGTGAAGGTAGCAGTTATGGGAGCATCCTGTTCAGTGTGCAGTCCCCGGATCTGACACATAGTCCTCTCTCAGCATCTGGGGAAAGACGAGAAGACATGCTTTGGTTTAATAGCACAAAAAGCCCCAAAAATGAGAAGCACAATTAAAGCAGAAGCTCTCTGCCTCTCCAAAAAGTCAATATTCCCCTTGGTGCTGCACTGTACATATGTCGGGGGTATCTGCATATCAAAGTGAATGTTGCCATGGCGCTCGGCGAGGGAAAGAGGCAGAAGCTTCTACTTCATGCTGTTTGTTCTACACTACAGTGATTATTTTGATTATTGTCTCTTCTCTGCGAGTCTATTTTCCACTAAAGGTAGCAGAAGGGAAGGATTGAGTCACACTGAGGTCGGTAAACTTGCACCCTGGGAAGGGTCCAGGCATGAAAGATAACCGCACAGACCTGTGGCTGTGGACTTAACCGGGGTTCAACTTGTCTTCTTAGTTTACTCGCATTGTGTAACATAACATCTGCTGTTCAAAAAGGCTTAGGCTGAGTGTTTATCACACAGTTCGTTGAAGAAACCCCGACTCACCAACGAAGGAGCCGTACAGAACCATACGGGCCATTTACGAGTCTACAATCTCCACGTTCATTGGCGTCATGAACTTCTTTTTTGAGGGTAACTTTTAAATCAAAGTGGTGCAACCTAGCAGATGTGTTACTCGGCGTCCTTTCCGATGTAAAAGTGTGACACTATTCAAAACATATGGTTTGATTTTGGTACAAAAGGGGAGTCTGAATAAGTCTTAAACAGTGTGATAAAGAGTCCTGTTCACCCGACTAACATAACCCTCAATGGAAATGTTTAAGATCAGAGCCCTAAAGGTTCAGCAGCGAAGTTAAGTTTAAAGGAAAAGTTATGCATACTGAAAAGTAAACTATTTGAAACCTATTGAATAATCATAACTTTATTTATAGAGCACTTTTCTAAACAGTTACAAAGTGCTTCACATCACAAAAACAGATTAGAAATAAAGGAAGAACATCTATACAATTTACAAAACAGTTAATAGTCGGGCTGCAACAATTAGTCAAGGCTGTCGACAAAAACCGACAATGAAAAAAGTCTATTGACTATTGTCACCAGATTTGTTTTTTCCAGTGGAGTGAGGCATCTTACTTCATTACGATCTCTGCCTAGAGTCACATATGCGCAATAGCATCTCTGCCAAGCAGTAGGGTGTTCAAACATGGCGGCTCAGGTGTCCCATACAGCAGCTGCAAGTACATGCTTTAAAACCACTAAAGTTAGGGAGCACTTTAGCCTCGATAAGGCGAAAAAATTATAACTTGTAAGGTTTGCAAAGCAGACAGATTATTCGACTCCAACAAAAGTTTTCAAAATAAGAAAACTAAATAAAATAAGTTAAGACTTATTAAAAGTTAAGAGCAAAGTTAAGAGTCATGTACAGTAAAAGCACACGAACAAAAATGAGCTTTTAAAAGAGGATGAGGAACTTTCCAGTCTGAGCTCCTCTAAACAGAGAGCGGGGACCCCGACAAGTAAAAGTCCGGTCCCTCTTGGTCCTCAGCTTTGACTGAGGAATGGTCAGCAGACCCTTGACTGAGGACCTCAGGGTAAAACTGCGCTCGTAAGGTGTGAGGAGACCAGAGATGTACTTTGGGACTAGCTGTCATTTATTTGGACTTTACTGTGATTGACAGGAATACAAGGAACTACAGGTGATGAAGGCATGCGTGACTGTTACAGGGTCTTTTCTTAGGAAAGGGTGACTACTTTAGGAAAAAACATGACGCGCTTCTTCGGATAAAGGTCGTTTTCCAAAATAACTCCATGATTTTTGCAGCAGAGAGAGTCAGTGATGTGGGCCTGTACAGTGATTACCTCTGTCTTGTTCATATTTAGCTGTAGAAAGTTGTAGGTCATCCAGTTTTTAAAGTCAGTTAAACAGTTAGAAAGTGAGGAGATGTAATCTAGGTTTTCACGGCTAAAAGAAAATCTGCTATTTGAATATAAAGCCGGTTTAGTTTATCTCAAGTCCTGAGGTTTTACATTCGACTGCTCACAGTATTTCTGTAAAACAATACAGTCTCCTCCTCTGAGGGCTGAATTCAGACAGAACAATTACCCAACACCAGGAAAAATACAGTCCCATATATAGTTTCCCGACACACTGAAACAACGATTGCACTGTCACCGAAATCAATACTCTCCGCCGCCATCCATCCACAGAAGCTGGCCAATCAAACGCTCCAATAATCCCTCAAGGTAATGCACTGTAGGACAACTCATCATAGAAAACAGCCTCTCCCCCGGCCAACACCGGCGGGTCATTAGGGAACCTCGCATGTGCCGTCCTTTCTTAACACCTTCTGGAGCTTTACAGCTCCCGCCGCCATGAAACATTCGCCCCGTCGCTTACTTAAGAGCAATCATGTCAAGTGCCTCAAACGTAGAGCTGGCTCTTCAGGGACATCATGAAACGAGGAGTGGAGATTTTCCACAGAAACAGAGTGTTAGCCGCTTCCCGTAAGCTGTGAAAAGCCCTCCTTTCGAGGACCAAGGGGACCCTTTGCAATCACATTATGAAGTAGCCTTAAACAACAGGCTGAGCTCGGAGGATTCATGCAGCGATATGTGATGAAGAAAATCACGCCAGTGCTCTACAAAAACAGGAAAATGCACAGTATGGGCAGGACTTAGAAGAGATGCTACGCTTGCTAAAGCACATCTGTGTTGCTAACAGGCTTCCTTATTTCCCTCAGCAGCAGAATCAAACAAGGGTTTTCTAACTCATGAATACTACATGAGCGCTAATTTCTCCTTTTTCCCGTCTTGAATATTACAAAAGAAACGATAGAGCCTCTCAGGAACAACACGGCACGCTTTCTGTTTACAGCCAGGAGGAGGTTCGCTGTTACAGGTTGTCAAATGGAGGAGAGATGGCCTCGAATGTAGGCCACCAGGGTCAGAGGTCAGTCGACACCTGCTTTTCCTGATGAGTACTGGGGGCCTGAGAGGACTTGTTTCAAGGGAGCAAGGATGCACAGTCCAGGAACAAAGACAAAGGAGGGTTGACGAGGAATTGCTCGCTGCACTTTTAAAAAACTTTTAAAAACTTAAAAAGGGAAAATCAGGATAACTTTTAGATAAGCTTACTGTTTTAAACACTTCTTAAGGTCGTTACACAACGGCGAATAAACGAAGCAACATGAAAAAGAGATGTGAAAATACGAAATATTCGGCTTAAGCCTTTTCCTATGCACACCTGTTGCAACGCGAATAAAATTTGCCACAGGGGTGAAAAAATGTTGTAGCCGGTGTGAAAGCTTACGTCGACTTAATGAGGTTTTAAAAAATAGGGAATTATTGTTACGCAAATTCGCTTTGCTAGTTCGCCGGTGTGTAACGACCTTTATTTTGGCATCTATGAAAAATCCTCTTTATAAACACTTCCTTTCTGCTGCTTCTCTACTGATACAAAGTTAGACGCAGCTTCTGGGTGTTACTTTTTACACAGCTTTGTAGTCACCAAACGCCCCAAAGGAATAATCTTACAGAAAACGTCCTGTTAGCGCTCACTTAGATCTTCATTTCGCCACACTTGCATACGTTAGCTGCTGTTGGTCGATGGAAGAAGATGACACAATCGAACCGGCTCGGGTTTTAGTTTTACACAAATCAACCTTAACAGAACTTTTTAAAGAGAAGAAACCAGCTAAGAACGTAATCAGCTGACAGATCTGGTCTTTTGTGTCTCTCTCATAAAATAACATTAATTACACTTAACAGCGACAGTTAATACAGAAACTGCTGTTAATAAAAGCTTCCACCCACAGCTTTTCTAAATATTAGAAAGCCTGTTTCCATTTTTTTAAAATAGCACTTACAATTAAAACAAGGAAAAATTTCAAGCTGTGGGAATCAGACAGTCTAAAACAATAAAAATGAGTCTTTTAGTCATTAGAGCTGCAACAATCAGTCTCATTAAAACTGATTCAATCCACTAATTTTGATTCTTTCTTCCTCCCAATCTAACAGAATTCTTTAATTACTGATTTCAAGACTTTTAATCAAAATTTAGGACAAGGACGAGGAAAAAGACTTCTTGACTATTTCAAAATTCACTCCAGAATCATTCAACATGAATTTAGGCCACTTTGGGCTACAATAAAGTGTGGATAAATGCAGTTTATATCAGTCCTGCAAAAAAATTGCTATATAATTATTGTTTTGACTGTGTGATTATTATATAATGGGTGATTTTGAGAACAAAGAGACAGCGCTGGGAGCTCCGAGACATTTATTTAATCCGCTTGGTAAAAAAACAGTCCACGTCAACCTTCTCCGTTTATCATAACTGTAATAAAACAGGATGTCTGCTGTATATTTGGCAAACATGCTCTTGTATTTATAGTCGTACAGATTACCAGCGCATGCTTTAATTCCTTTCAGTTGTAAAAATCCAAATCTCCATATTTATGAGCAGCAGCCGCTGCAGTTCCATCTCAGTCTGCCGTGTAATGCCGGTGATCCCACCTTCAATCTCTACAGCTGTTCGACATTTCCCCACCCAGTGGCCTTTCACCGGCACTTGGTATTCAACGGGTGTCTGTAACTCTCCAAGTGGTCAATAAAGTTTGATTCACGACCACAGGGCCGTAACTCCACACTGCTGCTTTAATTCGAGGAGATGTAAATGATGGCCATAGATCCAGCCTGATTTCCTCAGGGAGAGAGAGGGAGGGTTGGGCCGGCATGTGCCATAAATTATTGTCCCCGATAGGTCAAAGGTGAAATATAAAGAAGGCCCAGCCATCACATTAAAATACTGTAATGCCTTAATGGCCTTCCTTTGACACAAACCTCACTTTATCAACCTGATCGAGAACCAGCACCAATCAAAACACACCTGATGGGCTCTTAATGAATTATTTACCTTTAGAAACAACAGCCACAGGTATAAATCAGAACAACCGCATACTGCAAATACATCATCAGGAGATACATACGTCTCTCAGTAATAAAGATACATGCCTTATTCTCACAACCTTGCATAAATATTTCCTCAAGTGTGTTTCTGCATTTAAAAATCAGCAGAGAAAGTGTGAATAGATTCTTATATCCATATCTGCACTGAGCCGGCGTTCACGGTGAAGTGCTGACAGAAGAGAAGGAGACAAATGAGGATATTCTAAGCAATTAGGACATTTGTAATAACCTTGCCATACTTCACTTGGCACCCCAATGGGCCATTAATAATACTGATAAATCTAATACATGCAACAGGGCTCCCTTGTTACATATACAGTAATAGCATTAAGAGGGTTGGCTGCTCTGCAGTTCTTCCTGTGAAAACCACATTCCACTTAGACACACAATGTCATAAATCACCAAATGTGGGCTTTAGGTTTCTGTCCACACTATGATTGTTGGTTCCTAACGTGATATTTTTATTTAAAACTCCCATGAGGATTATTTTTATGTTAAAAAAATACACTGAAATTTATGCGGACGCCTCTTAATGACGTCCAAAAGCAAAGGAGACAATTTAGACGGTTTATTTATCTTAATTTTTAACACCTGAAACTGGTGCAAGGGGGGTGTCGGCCAAGCAGCTGAAAAAGCAGTCCTCCTTTTACAATCTACACCTAAAATAATCAAAATAATTCATAAATTTCAATGCCAAATGTTGTCAGGGTAAGATTTTCAGATAAAAGTAAACACACAAGCAAGTAGAGGACAAGCTAAGAGTTGACTGCTTCACACACAGGGGGCGCCAAAGTTGACACGAACCAAAGGTTCCTCACAGGAGCTTTAGGCAAATTTAACACGTGCACCAGCTTAGTTTGTAGATATACGTTTTAAAAGGGTTTATAGTGGAGTCAACTTTAATATATAGTCTTTGTTTCATTCTGCATCAATACCGATTTGTGAAAATGTGAAAAACTTGAACACAAATGCAAAAATGAAAATGTGCTGCAAACAAAAAATCTAAATCAGCTGCATAGACAGCAAATGTCCATACCATGCCAATCCAGAATTAGACATGCACTCTCTTCTTGAACCAATGAGCTTGTGTATCCTACAACAGAGGCCCTGCAGTTAATGCAGTTTCCGCCATTGCATTTGTTTTCTGTGGTGCGCTGAATCTGAATCTGCAGTATGTTTCTCCAAAGATCTTCTTGTTGAACACTGTGCACTGCTTTTATAGTGCAATGAACCAAAAACACATCCAATTATATACAAGTATGAATGCAGAA